CTTTCACATCGGCTTTGGTCTTAATTTCCCATTACACCCCAAGCTAAGGCGTTAGCCTATCATCGCTCGGTTTCTTCTCTCGAAGGATGTAAGGACTGAAAAATAAATAACTAAGACTGAAAAGTAAATTGCAGAAAGTAAATTACAGGAAATGGAAATACTGGAATGTAAAGTACTGGAAATTAAATGACTGAAATATAAATGACTGAAAGTAAATTACTGGAAATTAAATAACAGAAATGTAAATTGCAGTAAAGTAAAGACTGAAATGTAAATGACTAAAATGTAAAGGACTGAAATGTAAATGACTGGAATATAAAGACTGAAATATAAATATTGAAATATAAAGAACTGAAATATAAATTATTAATTAGTAAATAATACTAATTAATATAAATCTAATAATTATGAAGAAAAGTACATGATGATTGACAAAGGGTACTTTGATGGGATGAATGATGGTACTTTGATGAGAATGGTACTTGACATGAAAACCTTGGGAAATGGGGTTGACTTTTTGAAGGAAACTTGCAAGTCAAGTAATGAAACTTGCAAAACAATTTTCGTTACAAAGACCAAAAGATTGTTTGCAAAGTCGTAAAAACTGTTTATTTAAACTACGTAAATTAGCAGTGAGCCACAAAGGACGAGATCTGATGTAAAGCAACAACGATCGACTAATTCGTAACATGAAATAAAAGTAAGAAAACATAACTTAACTTGGAACATAAAGAAGATGAAGATTAAATACGAGTACGTAAATTAAACCTTGACAATGAAGTCACAACTTATAAAAATCGGTTCTTGAAAAGTCAAACAATAAGAACCGAAAGCAATATTCTTGAGAGCAACTTACAAAAGATTATCAATAAATCTCCTAAAGTATGTAAAATTATCCAAAAGTAAGTTAAAACAAAGCATAAGGCTTGTTTATATAGGCCAAGGGAGGTCCCAAAGTGGGTGCCAACTAATAAGACAAAAAGCCTCTTCAAACTAGGCTTTGACCGAGCCCAAGGCTGTTGACCATGCCTCCTCTATGGACCAGCCCATCTATCCACGGCCCAAGCAGATTTCCAGCTCTTGGACAGGTCCTATAGGACCTTGCCACTCCTGGTCTTGTAGGACTGCTGCAGGACTGGGCTAAAAATTGATCAAAAACCTGCAAAAACAGAGAATTATCGTTAGATATATTATGTAACTACTAATATATGAAAAAGGCATAAAAAGACTCAATTAAGACACTAATGGGCAAATAAAACAAAGGAAAATGGTTAAGAAAATGATGTAATAAGGTTAATAAATTAACACTTATCACTAGCTCAAAATCAAAATCGACAAAATTGCAAAGAAAAACATAACACCTACAACTATATAAAACTGTTTTTATTGGGAGGTGTTTTCTGGAATACTTTTATTGAAAATTATAGATTATCTTGTTACGAACGCATAGGCGAAAATCTCATCGAAAACAGAGGTCCGAGCGAAAAGTTGTGATTTTTTTAGTATTAGGTGATCAAAATGGGTGATGCAATAGTGCATAAACTTGTACGTTGACATAAAACATACAATAGTTAATGTTAACAAAGTTCATACCTTCTGTTAACCAGACATGATGGTAAGCCCTGCTCCTTCAATAACACCAATATCTTTTTATTAATAGTTCAATGAACCACTTCCAATTCTCTTTGTTCTCCACATCTGCTACAGCCTAAGCTACATAAGCATTCAACATTGTAAGTGGTTAAACAAATATAACAAGCATAGTTTTTATGTACATACCTTTAGGGTAGATCTTATTATTTACGCCTCGACCAATTGCTGATATTAACTCTCCTTTGCAGACCCCCTTCAAAAAACAACCATCTAGTCTTTTAACCTTCCTACATCCACTAATCCACTCATCTCTTAGTGCTTTGAAGCATACATAAAATCTTCTAAATTCATTGTTTCCTCCTGCCATTAAATTTACATCCATCTTAAATGTAGATCATGGATTGGACCTCCTAATTTCATGTCCATAATCCCAAAGTTTTCCATAGTGTTCTGTCAAAAGAACCTTCAATTTCAAGAAGTGCCCTGGACTTGGCCCGGATGTATTGACCCTTGCTAACTTTGACCATAAACTTTTTTCAAAATATCATCTTGTACATCCTTGATTTTTATGAACAGTCTTTCAATGAGTTCTCTAACATAATGTTTTGCAATCCAATTTGGTGTCAATAGGGATCCAAAACTACAGTCTCTACTACATATGTGCTTATAATTAATGCTTTTAATTTGAAACGACTTTTTTCCTTGCATCCAAGATGCCCATAATCTAAAAAGACATGTGTGATCTTTTTGACCTTTTCCACATGTAACAAGTAGTCTTTCTGAATCATTTTTCACATATTCTAGTTGGTAGCAGTTTGCAACTGCATAGTTAGTCAAACACTGCTTTAATTGACTAGGATTCTCATACCTTCACCAAGTCTGGGCTTCATCAGCTTCCAAGAAATATTAGGATCATGTATCGGGTATTGGACACCCTTTTGTATAACATGATCTCCAATGTTATCATCATCTTCATCCACATTAAACTCAACATTGTCAATCGTGTTTACAATACAAAGCTTATTTAGAATTTGATCATCAATTGTTTTATTTAAGTTGATTATATCATCCTCATCTTCAATGTCTAAAGATAAAGAATCTGACATATGTTCACTTGAATTATCGTTTATTTCGTAGCTAGAATCATCACTACAATCACCATCGCAATCAGATATCATTCTGTAAACAAGAATAATGATTTCATCACGATTCACCAATGAAAACAAAACCTATCATACTCTAGAAAGGATGGCATAAAATGATGTTATGAATTCACAAATGAAAACAAAATCTATCAACCACAAATGATATCATGGTGTTGATAATTAGGTTCACATTGCATTATTTATGCTTGCCAACAACTATGGCCTTCAAGTTTGGACCCAAACATCTAAAAGTTTAAAAGAAAGCAAGCTGAGAACAAATGGCCTTCAAATTGACCAAATGACCTTCAAATTGCAAGTGTTCTGTTAGAACAAAGCAAGTTTAGAACAAATGACCTTCAAATTAACCTATAAAGCAAGTGTTCTATTAGAAGTTTAGAACAATGAAAGGAGAAAGCCTTTAGAACAATGAACAATGTTGGAACCAAACCTGATTATATCAAACTGCAGCGACAGGCGAACAGACGGTGGTGAGGCGGCGACGGGCGAACAGACGGTGGTGCAGCGGCAACCGGCTATTAGACGGTGGTGTTTTAGTTTTTTTTGTTTGTAGGTTTACCTCTATTCAGGTTACAAGTTATATTTTTAAAGAACGATGATCTATTTAACAAGTTTTAGAAAGTCCAAGGATTTATGAATTTTTGGGCAGAGCAAAGTTATTTTAGTTAAGCAATTAATATAGACTGATGTAGTAAAATGATCATTTATATCATCTAGACTGTATATTTAGCACAAAAAAGACAAACAACAATTTAGTATTGATCCATACATATAGTTTAATAGTACAAATAACATAAACCAAAGAAAGCTTAATAGTACCACCTTCAATTTTAGAAACCTTAAGGGTTGTTCAGTTGATTTTCTAGTAAGTCCTGTATGGTAGTTGTCTGTAAGGATTTGGTTGTCTGTATATATTATGTTAAATTATTGTCCGGTTGTGATGCTAAATAAGCTGTCTGAATGATACCACCTTACTCCTTGTTTGTTTGTTTTTCATACGAACCCAAATACAACCAACATTTATCTGCATTATTTCAAACACCTTATATCCTACCCAAATCCCCATGATAAACCTGTCGCTCTTCCGTTTTCTTGGAACCTCATCAAACTTGCTTTCAAAACACCATCTTTATGAGAAAATATTGTACAATTTCAGATAAAATTCAAAAGAAAATCAGAAGGAAGAGAAAAGAAAATCCTGGACCATATCTCTTATCTTTGTCATAAAACAAAGGTAAACTTTTTAGGGGTAAAAACTTGAGAATTTCAGAATAAAAAAAATCCCAGATCAAACAATACAATTCGAAAAAACCTTCATTAAAGTACGCTCCTGGGCACCATAACCAAAAGAATCACAAAATTACTTGAAACAAATGTTTATACAAATCCAGATCGAGATCGAAAGAGGGAGGGAAAACTCGTTTTAGCAGCATCAGATCGATATCGTTGAGAGAAAACTTGTAACCAACAACATCAGATCGAGATCGAGAAGAGAAAATTCGTAACCGACAACATCAAATCCATATCGAGAGATGGAGAACAAGGGATGGAGAGAAGGGAGATGGAAGGAGTGCAGTTTGGGCGATGATGCCTACAACAGGTGGATCGAGAGAGAACGACATATGTATAGAGGAGGAGGAGCATATATCTATTAAGGGGGAAGAGAAGCGTGAATTTTCCCAAGGGCATCGAGGGAAAATGGTCGGCTGTATATATATGACTCTACTTTGTGGGCTGAGCGAATAACCCCTAACTATTAAATTAGTAAGGCCCTATGGATATTAGATGAAGCCGAGTTATTTTAGTTAAAACATTTAATCTAGAACGATGGAGTAAAATGATCATTTATGTCATCTAAACTGTCTATTAAACACTGACCAAACAAGATTCTCAATCCTTGTCCTACTTCTTATCAAATAAGATTCTCGATCCTTGTCATACTCACCCAGTAAGGTAAGAGATACGATAACCGTTTGCCGTTTAACGTTTGGTAAACGATCCTTAAACATAGAACTAATAAAACCCTATGGATTTTCGGGCAGAGTCGAAGTATGAAATACTAGCATACTACGTCAAAACTCAAACCATTAAACCGATCTTCAATCCACTAAAAACCCGACCCGACCCGACCCGATGAATTTTATTGTCCAAAATTTCAGAATTACCTAATTGTAGGAGGACTCGAATGAAATTTTGTAATCCCATTCCTTTCTCTTATAAAACCCGCACTCAACACACGACATTGCAGTGGTTCGTCTTCGTCGCTATCAGGGAGCAAACCCAAAACCCCAAAACGCTCCAAACCCTTCTTCTCTCCTATCCAATCCAATGCTCTAACCGTTGCGTTTTCAATTGAATCTTGAAAATTTAATCTTTGAATCAAGAATGCCTCGAGCTTCGAAGAGGAAGTCGGACCCCGTACGATCATCCGAACCTGGTTAGTAGTCTTGTTTTTTTTTAAAAGAAGAGACGATAAACATCTTCCATATATTTCTTGCGGAAATTGTGACGTTACTGAAATTTTATGAAACTGGTACTTAAATATTTTTATCTGCGTGGGTTGATTTCAATTGGGTCAATATTGATCCAAATTTGAATTTATCTTGGCGGTTTGTTTGCAGAAATGTATGTTCTTAACTTGATGAATCCGGGGTCTAGTATGGTGTGGCAGACTCATTTCTATTTCAATTCAAAATGGGAAGATATTATAATTATTGGATAGAGGTATTTATAGAACATAGGATTTCAACCATCACTAAAATGGGGAAGAGAAAAACTCTGAAGAATATCTGTTAGATTGATTGGTTGCTTGAGAATGTGCAAGGACTTGGTTTTGTGCCAAAATTGTAATAAATGCAACAAGAAAAGGAAGAACAGGCTTTCCATTGGAAGCTAGTTTAGGTAGGTTAGATTGGAGACTACATTTGAAGTAAATATGTTTGGCAGGGGGTTATAGGTTCACAGGCGTCACCTATATGATGGAAAAACTCTACAATTGTTTTTAGATCAATTGCACAAGTTCTTGAGGGGTTTATTTAAAGTTTGTGAATTTTATGCTTGACAACAAGAAAAACTAGACCCTGCTATCACAGACTAACGGAGCAGTTAAGAGTGAAGGTCTGTTAACGAAAAAATTCAAAGAAATTAGGGACTACGAGGTGCAGAAGAAAGTGAAAACAGAGAAAGTAGTAAGTGTTTTGCTCTCTAGTAGAACAAACAGATAAAAGCATTAAAATAAATATTAAAACCAAATAAACCTAAAAGATGTCGTTGGCTCATTTAATTATAACCACACTTCTTAGGGACTAATTACCTTCCCTCCAATTCTACATGCAGCTTATGGATGCCACACTTCCCCTGTTCTGCCTCCTGCTCTTGCTTCACTCCTGGTCTGTGATGCAAACGACTTAATGACGAACTAAGAAGTACAGTACCCATGAGATATAAATGCAACTTTTTGCTTCTAGTGATTTGAAAAGATTTAGAAAAGAAAACTGTGGAACAAGAAGTTAAAGAACTCTAGATTTAATTTCGGGTCTAAAATGTATTCCCCTCATCTTGTGAAATTGCTTTGTCTGACATGGCTTCTAATTCAAGTAAAAGGTTAACTATTTATCAAATATCTAGATTATTGGCTGATAAAGACAAATAAAGGAATCATGTGGACCCAAATCAATATGTTAGGTTAATCTAACTCCGGGCACTTCCAAAAAGGAGATGATGCAGTTTTTAAGGGGAAGAGGGTTACATGTATATTAGAGGGTTACAGGTACTGAATGTTATTGAATCTTGAATTGATAATAAGAATCACTAAAAAATGGGGTGCATCTATCTATACTAGAGAAGGGAAATAGTTGGAATGACAAAACAAAGCAATTCACAGTAATTAGTTCATAAAACAAGTAGGAAAATTTATGTATCAGTTACATAATAGAGGTGGGTTAAGGCATTTAGTGAAAGGTTCCTTCAAAGCGTCTCTAAAGCCGTTTTAGGTTTCTTATTTGAAGTTATGCAGGTGCATGGTGCCATATGTTGAACAGTTTATTGTGAGACTGGTGCTGATTCTTTGAGAATATTTGTGCTTTATAAAATAATATATTAATACTATAATTTTTCATGCCCTCTACTAGTATACTGATTTGTTTAGGATTTACATTTGGAGCATCTTAATGTACATGTAGTGACATTTGTACCTTTTGAGGCATTTTTCAACATATTCTTATTTTTGGTATAATGTTCTCCAGCCCCAAAGAGAGCTACAGCAAAGGAAGTGGAACGAATAGACAACTTCTTTGCATCATATGCTAATACTTCAATAGGCATGATTGAGTAAGTATATACATGTTTCGTTTAACTAGTCCAGACACATTTTTCATGGAACTAGATTTTATGCTGTGAAGTTTTATTATACGATTTATCGTGGTTCTTCTTATGCAATATACTTCTATTGATAATTTTGAACCTTTCTATACTTCTATCAAATTTCTAGTTCCTCTTTGTTTATGTGAACATGTTTGCTAGTATTTTTGTAAAAAAGAAGCGCCTACATCCAATGTCTTGCATACTTCAGAGAATAAGGTTTTCCCGTAAATTGATGAGGGCTGCTCAAGCTAGCTGTGAACATTCTATATATTGCAGTTGCTCACAGAAGTTACTTTGATGAAGTAGAATTCCTTGTTCTGATCTTATTTCAGGACTGCAATCCTTCTGTGTTTGTTTGTCTGCCATGGGGCACTTGAAATAGACCAGCATATATGTGTTAGATCTCATATAGTCATATGTCTCGGTGGTAAATATCTCTCATCTATGATCCTAGGTGGTTCTGACTTTCTCGACATGATTCATATTTATATTATTTATTTTTTGTCATTCAAATAGACACCAGTACCAGCAACCTGCTACTTTTTGAGAAGTAGGCTCTCAAACGAATAAAAATAATCATAAAGCAATGGGATCCTGACAGTCACACATTTTGGCCTACCAAGAAGAACTGCATGATCTTATGAAGATGCTGTTTATGTGAAATTGTGAATTGGGTTTATGGAATCTTATATGGTCACTAGTCTTTGGGAATAAGAGTATCTTATTGTGTGTGTTTGGACACACCTGTTTCTTAGCATTTGTAGTCCCCAAGACATCGAAGTTCTTTTTAGAGCTTATCCTTATGTATGTATAGAGATATTTGAGGTCCCTTGGATCATATTCCATTACATTTCTCATCCTATTCTAGGTGAAGGGCCTTGAGGATTTATTTTATGTTATGTAATTGTTGGATTTCGATGCACAAGTTGGCGAAATTTAACAATCTTAATCATGTATTATTAACGATCTTAATCATGTATTGGTGTTCCTCTAATTCAAATTGATTA